GCGCTCCATTCCTTTCCTCCCACCCCCCCCCCCATTTACTCAACCCACCCCCATTTCCTCTCATTCCCTCGCACACCCCTTTCTCTTCAAAAAACACCTCTGTAAATTGGTGATAAACCAGAGTGTGTGGGTGTCCCCGTGTCGCGTTTTCGGATAAGAATATTGAAAATTCCCAAATAAGAACATTCACTATATATCGTGACCTTCAAAAAAAAAAGTGAGATATCGATGCAAAGTGAATAAATATATTGGATTACAATACCGGATATTGACCCATTGATAATGTCCAAAGCGTTCGGTCGGCTAATGTAAATTTTGCCTTGCTCTCTCTCTCTCTTTTTCTCTCTAAGGAATTCTTCTCCCTTCTATTAATTATTTAAATTTAATCCGCTCGAGTTTATCTGACAATTTTTCCTTTTAAACTTCTTTGTATACTTTTCAAAAAGTCTGTGCGGTCTTTTCTCACTGGATAATTAAGATAACTGATGCCTTTTTTTGAAAATAAGACTCGAAGAGATTTGCCAAAATGGTTTTTTCAATTCTTAACCCTTCGAGAACATCTATTTTTTTAATCACGAAGAATATTTATTGGGGGTAAGAATTTTGAATGGTTGACATTCCAAAGCAAATTTTTTCGATCATATTGCAAAAATTATCAAACTCACTTGAAACATAGACATATTAATTAGTACAAAGTGAAAGTAATAAAAAAAAGTTAATAACGTTTAAAATTTAAATCCAGATAGCAGGTAATTTGACCGCAAAAATTGCTGCAAGCTTTTATTAATATCAAACAATTTGCATTTTTAATTCAATTAATTTGAATAATTTGAAGTAGTAAATTTTACTAATAAATTAGGAGCTTGAAAACAACAAACATAACCTATAAGATTTATGGCTTCTTAGGCATTCTTCGCAATGCGTCACATATTTAATTATGCTTTTGTTTTTTAATACATTTTGATAGAAAATACTATACTACTTTAATTTTTTAAATTTATTTATATTATTTTTATTTTTTAATTAATTAAAAAAAAATCTTTATTATTCCAAAAAAATTTTGTAATTGCTTTTATTTATTATTATTTTTTTTTCTGCGTTAGAGTTACAAATTATACACTTTTAAAACAGAAATTCAGAAAAGTACTAAAAACTTGGAATATTGTTACACTGAAAAAAAAATTTATTTGATTCAAATAACCGATTAATTGACTATTATCAATTAAATATTTAATTGAATCAAATAATATTTATTGGAGTCAATTAAATGGAATTTGCTTCAAATTTTAAAATTGTTGGTTTAAATACCATTTAATTGACTTCAATAAATATTACTTAATGCAAGTAAATATTTAATTGATAATAGTCAATTAATCGATTATTTGAATCAATTAAATTTTTTTCAGTATAATAAGTTGTCATTAAAAAGAGAAACCATTCAAAAAAAAATTTCATTGTTTCAATATAAAAAACTTATTTGTTTTGCAAATCAAAATTTAGCAGCTTTTTTTTCTTATTTTTAAAAAAAAATTAGAAAATTGTTAGAAATTAAGATTAGGGCATAGAAAATATTTTACATATTTTTTGTTTCTCAATCGCAATATTATCAATATTATCTTCAGAAAATTAGAAGTTTCTTTTTGAAAAAAAGAGAAAATTTTGCAAAATGACCATTTCTAATCATAATTTTTTAACAAAATCTGTTTTACTTTGAAAAATACGAAAATAATAACTTGCATCATTTCAGAAAATTTTCAGTTTCTTTTGTAAAAAAAAATGTTTAATATCTATGTTAATTACGATTTTAATTTAATTTTTTTTAAATAAATGAAATATTTTATAATGTCTATTTTATAATCACAATTTTTTGACAAAATTTTCTGTTTTTTAAATATTACAAATATTTATCACATGTGCACCTTTTTTCATTAAGTTTTCGTACTTATTTAATTACTGGAAATTTATCTATATAAATATTTCAAAAATTGCTTTTTGGCAATTATGCTATATGTTTATACTTTATAATTTAAAGCACCCTCTTCTACAATTTCTGAACACGATTTTAGATCTCTAGAACTCCACTTTAAAATTTACGAAATCAATTTTTAAATATTTGGACATTTATCGATTTGGAATCTTATTTTGCTAACTAAATCAAGATTTTTTTTTTTTTTTTGAAGAAAAAGAATAACAATTTTTGAAATATTGTTGTTAATTATCTATATTGAAACAAGAATTAGAAACACTAACGCATTTTTTTAGCTAGTAATTATAATAATAATAAATATTATTATTTATTATTATTATTATTCAGTCTTATTATTATCATTATCAGTTTTATTAATATCGGTTTTGTTTATTAACATCAATTTTACTATCGGTTTTATTAACGTTTTATCCGTGGGTATTAAATCTACATGTGTGAATTAATATCTCAGTCGTCATTATATTATACATATCGTTGAATATAATATTTGATAAGTTTATGTATTTCGATCGTAAAATTATATTTTCAACATAAGAGTATTTTATCCCGTATAGATATCAAAAACTATTAACTATTATATCGAGAAATATTTTGATAGAAACTCTCCACCTCCTTTTAAAAAGGCGCGGGGGGGGTGGTAAAAGGGGAGTGGGGTGAGGCGTGTTACCTTTTCAGTGTGTCATAATCTAATATATTAAAACTGGTTTTCATTTATAAATACATATAAAGATATTGCACATCTTTGAATAAGATGGGAAGATAAAATGAGTGTATAAATATGCTAAGAGAGTATACCGAAGGCATTTTAACGTGTTGCGGAAAAGTATCTAGTAAGGAATATTGTGGACATTAAATTAAATTATCTAGACACAATGGCGTCTCTTATCAAACGACAAATTCATTTGCCGGTGTGCCATTAGAAATTCCAAGTTTGCGGTACGAAGTGCAAAGGTATGTGCGGCCAGTGAAGTTGAATGTACTCTCTTCGAAAGAGAGAAGAGAGGACTTACCGTTAAGTGTATATACATACACAAGTAACGAGTGGAACGAGTTATCAGCCATTGATCGACCAATACTGACCGCGAATAAATGAAGAGGCGAAGATCCAAAGCGAAATCATTACAGGTACCGAGACATTAAGCAGATAAGAGGGGCGACTATACGAGCGTATGTTTACTGCACACTCCGCAATGGGTACATTCTATACACGATCGAATTGAAAATTAATTTCTACTTAAGTGTATTTGAAATTTGCTTTTAAAATTAGAAATTCTAAATAGATTTGACAAAATTGTGCCAAATTCCAGAACCAAGATATTCCTATCCTGACTCAAATAAAAATTATTTGATTCAAGTAAATACTCAATTGATAATAATCAAGTACTGATGCGCTTCCATGAAAGGTACCCTAGCAGAACGAATTATGAACATAACCTAAAATTTTTAGCTTCTTAGGTACCTTTTTTGGAGCACGTCACATTTTTTGTAGTGTCGCTTCAATATTAACAATGACCTATAATTTTTTATAAACCGGAAATTACTGATTGTCAGCGTTTTGAGATAGGCCCCTTTCCCCGTGGAGCAAATACATTATTCTAATTTTTATATTTTATTTATCACTATTATTATCATACCGACATATAATAAAAAATGATCAAAAATAATGTTCAGCATTAAAAAAACAAAAATCTCATTTCAGAGAAAATGAATATTATGAAAAATGAAAATGTAATAGCCGCATATTGTAAGACGATAATTAATTTTTAAGTAATTACAGGTCAGAAATTTCATTATATATATTGATATTCGCAGTCTTCCTGTGTATATAATTAATCATCGTCGGGTGTATATATACGGAAGAGAATCTGCAAATTTTTGTATAATATAATTTTATTAGGTTTGGGTGGAGAATCAAGAAGTACAAAGTGTAGGTCGTGCCTTGTGGCTTCGAACATCATCGACTAATGACCGATCATCGCGTGTCACATCAAACGTGATCATGCGTGGGTGTCAGAATTCCCATTGGCATGGATGGTAACGCGCGTATATTGCAAAGTGAGTGAGAGAGAGAGAGAGAGAGAAAGCGTACCGAAGTCATCCACGCAAATTACTTTGGCGGCCATTAATAAGAGGCTTCGGACACTATACGTCCAAAGTCATTGCCAAGTTGAAAGATCAACGGCTCAAGGAGTTTGTATGCAACTCTATATACACACAGATGTAATATACATACACATATATAAATAAATAAATTTATATTTATAAAAAATATATTATATTATATTATATTATTATTTCCTCATAGAGGAAGTATTTATAATATAAATACTATAATATGTAAATATAAATAAATATACATATATGTTTATATTTATATGTATGTATATATACAGTCAAGGAGCCAATAGGAAGGGATGAAAATGCGTGGCGGTCTTTCGAGAAGTAATTAAAAGCGTTGTATCGCACAACCGATAGCCTTAATTACCGTTAATTATTCTTCAAACCTCATCTCCTTGCAATTCGAATATACTATATGGCCCACGAACCGTTACGAATAAATTGTCCTTGTCGTGTCACAATATTTTTTCCGATCGTTAACTTTGCTACTAGTAACATACATTCTTTCAAATTACAAATCAAGTACCGGTACTCGCGCCTTTCTTGTCCTATGAAAATAGAACAAACAAAAAAAAAAAAATGGTTCGCAATGTGGGAAAAATACAATTACCAATGTATGGCCAATATTGGCCCTTGACTGTGGATGTTGGCTTGGTTTTTAAAATAATAGTCATTGAGAAAATGGAAATTATTAAAGAGTTTTTTAATTAAATATAATAATTATTATAATTATTAATAATTATTATCTAAAACCTTCACATACAAACTGAGGTGAATCTGAAATTGATGGATTTTTAGGCGATATAGAATGTCTAATTTCCCAACAGCCTTTTTCTCTGCTTTTAATCTGCATTGCAACTTTTATAAGATTTTTATACATAAATTACTGTCCGTATATTTTTAGTATACTAAAGATGATTTTCGCCGTAACATAATTTTCTCTCTAATTTATATTTTTGCTATATTTTGTAACAAACAAACAAGAAGAAAATATTTTATTGTGTCGCTATGTTACTGAGAATTACTCACCGATCGCTGATTCCAGGGCGCGTAATTCACTCCTAAAACAGAAAAATATCGTATACTGTAAAAAATTTAGTGTATAGTAAATAGCAACTCGATAAGGAAGTTTATTTTACTTAAAAGTATAAATTAAATTTTTTCATAACTATAAAACTTGAAAAAATCGATCACTCCGAGTCTTCGACTCGGAGTGATCGATTTCTTCATGTTTTCTAATAATTAAAAATGTCAGATTAATAAAATCACTATTTTTTATTATAAGAATATTGTACTTTTTAAAATTATTTTCATGATTGCAATTCAATTATTATTTTTTTAAGAATTTTTCACTAAAATTTTTCTTTAAATCAATTAATTTTCAAAAAAGTTTTTCAAATTAATTTCAAAATTCAATTATTTCTAAAAATTCAAGCTATATTGCTTTTAATATTCAATTATTATGTAAAATGTTAACTAAAATTAATTTTTAAATTAATTTTTATTATAAAATTCTATTAGAATTGAATTATTTAAATACAAAAAATAATTTATTGTATATTTGAATGTTTCTTAAAATTGAATTCTCATAAAGAATTTTATCAACAAAATTTTTTAAATAATTGAATTCGTTTGACGAATTTTAATAAATAATAAAGTTGAAATTATCGATCACTCCGAGTCAGGTTGAAAAAATTTTTTTTTTAATAAAATTTTTAAGAACAATTACATTTTCTGAGAAATTCGATTGAAATTTTATTTAAAATAATTGAAATTCTACGATGATTTTAACTATTTATGAAAATAATTCAATTCCTAAAAAGAATTTTATTATTTAGAATAATAATTAAATTCGTTGTAAAAATGTTATTATTTAGAATAATAATTGAATCATATTGCAAAGAAATTTATAAAATATTTGTAAATAATTGAATTTCTGTGAAATTTTTATTATTTTATGAAAATAATTGAATTACTGTGAAATTTTTATAATTTTATGAGAATAATTGAATTTTTGTGAAATTTTTATTATTTTATGAAAACAATTGAATTACTGTGAAATTTTTATAATTTTATGAAAATAATTGAATTACTGTGAAACTTTTATAATTTTGTGAAAATAATTGAATTTCTGTGGAATTTTTATTATTTCATGAAAATAATTAAATTATTGCACAGAAATTAATAAAAAAAAATTGTAAATATTTGAATTCCTGTGAAATTTTTATTATTTATGGAAATAATTAAATTTATTTTAAATAATTGAAGTCTTTTAGAAAATTCCATTTAAATAGTATAAATATTAAAAATCATTGAATTGTAGAAAAATTTTGAAAATAGTTAAAATTTTGCTAATTTTTAAAATTTAACCTTTTCTAAATTCAATTATTTTTAAAAATTTATCCTAAAATGCTCCCAATATGCAATTATTATGTAAAATTTTAACTGAAAGTAATTTTAGAATCAATTTTTATTAGAAAATTCTACTAGAATTCAATTATTTAAATACAAAAATAAATAATTTATTGTTTAAATGTTTCTTAAAATTGAATGCTGGTAAAGAAGTCTATCAAATAAATTTTTAAGTATAAGTGAATTCTCTTGACGAATTTTAACAAAATTTTTAAAAAATAATTACATTTTTCAAAAAATTTGTTTTGAAATTGTATTAAAACTAATTGAAATTCTGCGAAAAGTTTTATTATTTGTGAAAATAATTGAATCCCTAAGAAGAATTTTATTATTTTTGACCCGTGTGGAAATTGAATCTGGGCGCTAGCCGTGCTATGTCCGGGGAGCCCCATTACCAGCTAGCCCCTGACCAGAAACCTAACTCTATCATGGCTAACTCGGGCTATTTCCACACGGGGAACAAAATTACATTTTTGCAATTATTTTGTAATGCGAAAAAATAATTTATTGAATAATTGAATGTTTCTTAAAATAAGGAAACAAATTGCCAGGTTTCCTTGAAACAACAATTTTATTTACCAAAATTTTTGAAAATAATTGAATTTCAGAGACGAATTTTTATTATTTCTAAAGATTATTGAAATTTTCAGGAGAATTTAAAAAGATTTTTGAATATAATTGATTTTCTGCGTAGAATTTTATTACTTTTGAAAATAATTGAATTTTGCAATCATTTGTAATTGCTCTAAGATTTTCCAAATTATATTGTACAATTTACGAACTTTTTGTCCTTTTTTAATAAAATTACGGATTTCTACGGACTTTGAGCAAATTTACGGACCTTTACGGAATTTACGAATTTAGTTCGTGTCCTGTAGTAATCATACAATAATATAATGTTAAAAAAATTATTTCACGAAATTTATATTCTTCGCGGAAAAAAATATTTACCTGCGGAATAGCGATAAGTTTCTCTAAAATAGCGAAAGTCTTAACTGAAACAACTAAAAATTTGGCTAAACTAGTGAAATGTATAGCTGTTCCAGGTGAATTTTTTTTTCCGTGTTTCTTATTAAAAATCACTAAAATTTAGTAGAATTCATGTAGAAATTCTATAGAATCGTTCTAATGAAATTCTATAGAATATTCACTAGAATTCATATAGAATGATTTTATAGAATGATTCTAGTGAAATTCTATAGAACTTTTTCAGCTGGTTGTATTATGTCTAATGGAATGATGTGTGTTAACACACCTGAACAGATCACCTTAGTGTCTCGAGTTGTCAGTTCGTCAATGTCAATTTTGATCGGAATGAAGACCGACAACAACATTGCGATTCTCCTTGTAGCGTTAAATGCCCATGATTTAATTATCGAAGTGCGGGCACCCACTCTTTGGTCAAAGATTCGCTGATCTTTCAACGATACAACGCTGCTATTCGGATCGATAAGATCAACGACGCTTTAAGATCCAATGGACATTATATCGAATCGATTCATGATCAACGCGACACTATATGTTTCGAGGGAGTTTCAGTAATTAGCGGAATGATTGGGACGCAAAGAAGCAATGAGAGGAAGAGATACGTATATATATATACCTTTGAAAGCGACAACCTCTCTGAATTCCCCTGATAATCGAAACTAATTAAATATTATTTATTGCCCTCATGATATACACGAGATTACATGTTCTCTCATTGGCGATGAGAGTGTCTCTCTCTCCCACTCTCTTTCTCTCTCTTCTATAAATATACAATTATTTCGTTAGTCTCGAAAAGAAAAATTTCGAAATATAAAAATTCCCGCATTTAATTGGAATTACTAAATCTAAAATCTTAATCTTGTTTATCACTTGAAGTGAATAAATGGGAGTTTTTCTTTTTTGCGAGAGCGGGGAAAGAAATAGAGAGGCAACAGGTGGGCCCATGCCGAATCCGCTTTAAACCATTTCAAGGAGGAAACCCCCCTACCTTCTCTCTTCCTGCTTCCCCGAAAGCGAACACACGCTTTGGGGTCGAAATTTAGAGTAGCTGCTCACGACAAGTGCTTCAAGGGTGGAAAAACAAAAAAAAAAAAGTTCAAATCCTCCACTAATTATTTATTTCTAACGGAACAATTTTCTTTTTTTAATTATCCTCATTTCGACTCAATTTCTTTTTTTTACGAAATTTCTTCTCTGCAGGCGAAATAAAAAATACACTTTTTCTACGTTAAGGAAAAATTATCACTAACTGCAAATGTTTTTTTCAATTTCTTTGAGAATTTACAAATCTATTTGTTTACAATTCAATTTTAAGTGAAATTTGGATTATTCGAAACTTCTTCAATTAAATATATATTGGACAATAAAAATTTTTAATAATTTCAAAACAAATTTTAATTAAACTTTTTCAAAAAAAAATTAATTCTACGAAATTCTCAGTTAAAAGTATGAAAAATTCAAATCAAAGAATTTAATTTTCAATTATAATCTAAAATCTTAACTAAAAATTATTTTTAAATCAATTTTTATTAGAAAATTCTACAAGAATTAAATGATTTAAATACAAAAAAAATAATTTATTAAATAATTCAATGTTTCTTAAAATTTAATTCTCATAAAGAATTTTAACAAAAAATTTTTAAATAATTGAATTTTTTAGATAAATTTTAATGAAATTTTTAAGAATAATTAAATTTATCGCGGAAATCGATTAAAATTGCATTATAAAAATAATTGAAATTCTACGATGAGTTTTATTATTTCTGGAAATAATTAAATTCCTAAAAAAATCTTTTTATTTTTAAAATAATGGAATCGCTGTAAAAAAAATCGCTTATTTTTTAAAATAATGAACTTTTAGGGAAAAATTAAAAAAAAAATTGTAAATAATTGAATTCTTTTGACGAATTTTAATAAAAATTTTAAGAAATAATTACATTTTTCTAGAATTTTGATTAAAATTGTATTAAAAATAATTAAAATTGTACAAAGAGCTTTTCTTACTTATGAAAATGATATATTGAATTCCTAAAAAGAATTTGAATATTTTGAAAGTAATTAACTCCCTGCAAAAATATTTATTATTTATGAAAATAATTGAATTATTGGGAAGAAATTTATAAAAATATTTGTAAATAATTAAATTCTTGTGAAATTTTTATTATTTATGAAAAGAAGTAAATTTCTAAAAAGAATTTTATTATTTACAAAAATAATTGAATACCTGTAAAAATGTTATTATTTATAAAAGTAATAGAATTCTATTGCGAAGAAATTTATAAAAAATTTGTAAATAATTGAATTTCTGTGAAATTTTTATTATTTATGAAAATAATTGAATTATTGAGAAGAAATTTAAAAAAATTTTGTAAATAATTGAATTCTTTTGAAATTTTCATTATTTATGAAAATAATTGACTTCCTAAAACGAATTTTAATATTTTGAAAATAATTAAATCCCTCAAAAAAAAATTTATTATTTATGAAAATAATTGAATTATTGCGAAAAAATTCATAAAAATATTTGTAAATAATTTAATTCTTGTAAAATTTTCATTATTTATGAAAATAATTGAAATTTTGAAGAGATTTTTTTTTTTAATTTTTTGAACAGAATTGAATTTCTGCGAAGAATTTTATTACTTATTTCTCCAATTATTTG